CTTTTTCATTTCTAACTTTTAAATTTGTAACTTTAAAATTTCAATAAAATATTATTAAAAAAAAAAAGACCAAACCAAAGAGACTGCCCTTTTGCAATTGGCAGAACTGTTACTGTTTATGAGAATTACTAAGATCCTATACTTGCATCAAAGCAGAAGAGCCAAATCATTCAAAACTCACAAGCAATCATCAGTACTTTCTGCACAGAGATTGAGCACCTTCCCATCGCGGCAAATTATCTGCAGCACGCAATCTTTAGCCTTACCCTCCGGGGGCTGGAAACCTGTCCAGAAATAAAGAGAGGTGATTTTACTCCTTGTGATGAAAAGTTAACAGTTCAACACAAAAATCAAAATCGTAACATCCAAATAGATGTTACAAAAATGCAAGGAAAAAAAAAGTAGTCCCACTTTTCCCCCCTGAACAATTGGGAAAATAAAAAAGATTATAAAATATTTTTCTTTTTAAATGATATATAAAATGGTTAAGATGTGAAATGATGCATGCTTAGAAACATACAAATCAAAAAACAAAGTAACATATGAAAGGATAAAAAAAACTTGTCTCAACACAGAAAAATCTTCCAGTTTTAAGTCCATAAAAATTGTAAAACTATAAAAAAGTTCAGAAACTGCTAATAGTGGTAGTACTTGAGGTTCAGAAAAGCAAGATTGATTTGCCACATGAGACTTCTAATTCAGTATTCTTTTTGTCACCCAGCTTTTTCTTTCCTGAAAATTTAGCAGTTTCTGTATCTGATGCAGTGGGAAAGAAAGTTTGTAATACATAATTTTCTTTATTTTGCTTTCCTTTTTTTAATGTTGATTTTTTCCCCCATTTTCAGTGTTAACTTTTGTCTGCCCATTTCTTTTAAACAGGAAGAAAAGGAAGAGATGCTGCATTCCTGAGAGTTCAGCAGCTGTCATCTCCAATTTTAATAAACATTCAACCCATTTTAAAATATATTCAATCAATAAATTAAAATTATTGTCTCAATAATATATACTTTTCATACAGCAATCAAGCTTTTATAAGCAAACCAAGGAATATATAATAATTGTAAAGTAAAAAGTAACTATAAACGGTCTTTTAAAACTGCATCTATTTCCATTTAATTGAAAATGGGGGAAATATTTGTTTCCCATGTTATATATCTTGTACAGAGAGAGTTTGCTGAATCTCCAGCAAAAGCAGAATCCAGAAGCCATGCCTGGCAAATATAAGAAATATGTGCAATTTCTGTTTGCCTTATACTTACAAAGCTCTCACTGCTAAAGAATCAAGGTGCAAGGCTCTGCTGTAAGTTATCAGGATGTCACATAAAGTTTCCCAACCTTCACACTCTGCAAAATTGGAAATAGTGCCTTGCATGAGGCACAATGTTGCTCAAAGACAGAGAGGTTCTGAAGTAGAAGCAATAAAAACTAAACTTCTATGATTTTTCAGTATGCGTGCTACTGTGCCCTTCTCTAAATGTATGGACTTCAACTCCCAGAATTCTCTGGTTAGTGTCTTTAAGTTCTCAACTTGTATTATTAGAAAACAGGAAGGATCTATTCATACAATTGTGGAGAATGAGTAGATTGAGTACAATGCCCCACAAGAGCTTTTAGACAAAAAAATCTTATATGAACCCTTGACTGCCCTGACTAGCTTTTGTATATTTAAAAAAAAAAACAATTATCTAATATACTAGGAATCCTTTCCTAGAACTAAAATACTGCAACATATAGAACCAAAAACATTGGTTCCCTAATGAAAGAGAAATATCATCCCTGACAGAGTCCACAATGCAAGCTTATAATACAAAACAGAATTAGCTGACACCTTTTTAAAAAAAGTCATATGTGAAATAAGACATTTGAACTTGAGATGCAAATATGGACAACTGTTTGACTCAAAATAACTTCACAGGGGAGACAGTGGACGTTATCTAGACCAGCCCTTCCCAGCCTGGGCACCCTCCAAATGTGTCCACTTTAACTGCAGAATCCTCAGCAATTCCCCAGGAACTGAGCAAGGTAAAATTAGAGTGTTTCTCCTCCTCAGCTATATCTGAACTTTGCCCCCCTGCAATTTCCACTCACAAGTTCTAGTCCTGTCCTCTGGAGTAGCAGGAAACAAGTCTGCTCTATCTCCTGTCTAGCACTCTTTCATATATTCCTTATTTTTTTCTTCTCTAAGTAAACATACCACCCCATCCTTTCAACTATGACTCAGACACACTTTTAGCTTGTCAACATCCTCTGTAACACCCAGAACTGGATACAGTATTCTACATGTAGTCTACTTAAAGCAGATTAAAGAGGTCCAGAAGCTGTAATCGAGGATTATGTTATCCAGAGCACTCAACACTGTAGCACTCTAGATTACCCCATCAACATTGCTCTAATGCCAATAGCTTCTGCAGATGTCTGTATTCACAAAAAACAGGAAGAAAGCCTTTGTACAAGCAGATGCACATGAGACAGCCAGCAGGAAACTGTTATCACTAGAAGGGCAGGACTTAACCGAAGTGCTCATGGGATGAATGTGTCAGTTCTGTTATGCAGGAATGAGACTTATTAATTCTTGCAAACTGGACACTATTCTTTGGTTAATTCAGTATAAGACTGTAGTAGCTTTTTCAGAAACTGCACTGTGCTGCTGGCTGATTTAGCTCAGTTATGTGATTATGAGCTACAGACAAGCCTATGACATTTCACTTTTTTCTGGCTTTTAAACAGAAGGCAGTAAAGAACGGAATTAAAGAGTTGGTCAGTCATCGCCCACATTACATAACATGAAACTGTTCCCAAGTAGGGCAAAACAACTGCTTTGTTTAATGTTCATGAAATATATGGATTTAGTTATGAAATATATAAGCTCAAACTTCCAACATCCTCTCCTCTCTTGTGAAATAAAAACCAAAGACATGTATACAGATTCTGTCATTAGAAAAATAAAGGGAATCCTCACCACTGCTGGTAAACCAATTATTATAACACTAAAATCCTATCTAAGCTTACATAGGAGTTAGTCTCACCAAATCAATGAAGCCTATTACTCTGTGTGTGTGTGCACACTGTGCGCATGTGCGCGCACACACACACACAAAAACAACCATCGTGACCAGCATTTAAAACAATTTCTCTACGTTCAGCATTTTAATTAGTTTTAGACCTACACCACTAATACCAGTATTACAGGCAACACTAAGTTCACTTAGAATGATGGGGAAAAAAAGCAGACACAGGCACATGAAGGGAAATGAAAAGTCATATAAAAAGCACATAATCACCTCGGCATTCATTTCCCCCTCTGATATTGATACAGTCAATTTTCATGTGAATTCTATCTTCTAAATCATGCCGATGTTGGTCATCATAAAATAATAAATGGCCATGAGACCACAAATCAAACCAATTTTTCTTCCAGCGTCGTAATATAGTACCTAAAGAAATAGAGAATAATTATTTTTGGAGACACTGATTAAAAGGCAGTCTTTTTCTAAAATAAGATTTAAAAAGTGTTTCAATTAGGTCTGTGATATTTCGTTTTTCATACTAGTAAAAAAAAATTTAAAAAGCAATTCATTCAAAGTACTTACACATGAACAATTTTTTCCCATGTATTGGATATTACCTTTCAAAATTGTGCTGTCTGATAACATTTTTTGCCCCAAGAAGAGTGAACACAATTTCCCCCAAGAAGAGTGGGTCAGGTTGCATATAGTAATATTGGCTTTCCTAGTCAAGGTTTGGCAAACCAAGGATAAGCACTGAGCCTCCATTGTCTCTTTCACCCTAATTCTTCCATCATATGCAGTTCAGAATTCTAGTAAGTAAATCAGTCCTTCCCATTCTGAAAGCAGACAGGAACTCTAATAAAGCTACCTCATCATGGAAGGAGAAGAGAAGTGAGGCATATGCAAACCTGGCTTGTAAACTTGGGTCTTAAGTCTGAAGCCCAGGAATTTCAAATAAAGTAATACAGGTAGTCCTCGTTTAACAACACTAACTGGGACCAGAAATTCTGTCATTAAGCGATGTGGCCATAAGTCAAAAAAACACATAACCATGCCACTTAGTGACAGCAGTTCCAGCAGTCCCAGTTGCGATCATTAAATGAGGACCGTGCGGATCATTAAGCAAGGACCTCATATGACAAGTGACTTCCAACTTCCTGCCAGCTTTCCCATTGACTTTGCTTGTGGGAAGCCAGCAAGAAAGGTCACAAATTGTGATCACATGACTGCAGGATATTGCAACAGCCATAAGTATGAGGTCCAATCATATCTACTACTTGTTTAGTACTGTCATGAGTTTGAACAACTGCTGAAGAGTGGTCATTAAGAGGACAACCTGTAAAAGTAAAAACAAGGGTAATTCAGGAAGTAGAATTTAAGAATTTCTTAAAAACAAATTCTGCACTGATTGTATTACTGAATTGTATTTGTTTTGCTCTTTATCATGCTTGACATGGGATAAAAGAAAATTCTGTAGCAAAAAGAACAAAAACAACTAAGCACTATCTGCTCAGATATATGTCCTATCTAATTCAACAGGACTTACATCTTGGTAAATATGAACAGAATTTAATTATGTATTGTTTGAAAAAATAAATTATGAAGTTTGTAGTAACAAAGTAAGGATTACTGTATCCATATGTTTTTTCAGATGAAGGAATAGCTTATACAGTGCAATGGATACCAAAAAGGATTCCAGTAATCCCTCTATAAACACATGCACTCACATTTGTTACACTGAAGTAACTATATGTACAGATCAGCAATGCTGTAATGTGTGAACTCTTCTATTCAACAGAATGGCATGCACTACTTTTTCTTCACACAGAAGCATGCAAGTAATGAAAACTAGCATGCCAGCCTTTACAAATGCCATCTGAACAGTGTCAGGTTATGAAAGCTCTGTTGTCAATCACTAACATTTCACTTTTGTCTTTTCTATTGTGAGACTAGGCTAAAGCTGCCATAACCTAAAGATGAAGCAGGCACTAAGCAGAGAGGACAAAAGCCAGGAATCTTATCT